GAATGAGAGAAAAATATATGGAATAACGCTACCACGTTCCCAAATCATCGGCGAATGGCTTAAACCACGAGAATAGAAAACTCTGTCTACATGATACAGAGTTACGGAATATAGTAGAAATGCAAGCAAACCCGACTGGATCGATCTAAATTAATTCTCGCGCCTTAAAAGTCTCCTCTAGGGTAGTTATCATGATTGGACAACGTAATGAACTACAGCAACGCTGACTGATCCCATGATACCCATTCTCAGGTGTACCCGTGAGGTCTACTCTGTTCTCTGAGTGACTTGCTCGAAATAGCTGCGATTAAGGCGATAACTTACTGATGACAAGGTCCGTGATGATACTGGACTGATGTGTACCACAGATCCATCTACTTCATGCGTTGTACCACGACGCCTAAAAAACCAAACGGTAAGTTCTTCGTGTACGCATTATCCGACACACAGTAGTCGACCCAGCTCTCAGAGAGAAGACAAGTCCCAAGGTCAGATACGTAACGCATTCGTTCTATCCTCAGGTTGGCACTTAGTTATTCATATGTCCCAGCATTTCTGAAGCTATCAAAGTGACCGTCCTTTAGCGCACAATGTACCACACCGGTGCCTGCTGAGTTCATACACAGTCGCCAATTTCTATTCCGAGTGACTGCTGACAAAGCGGTGATGGGGGACAGGTCATGGTTTGGCAACGTGAGATGAAGGTGGCTACTGAAAAACCGAGTACTGTATGGTGTCTTCCAGGCTGTGACCCAAACAATCCTATTTACAGGTGTTTGGAAACCCTTCTTGACATTGGATACAACCTCTCCCAGTGGTGTACATACCGTCATTTCCTAGCCGGACTGCCTAGCGAAACTTCGCCTGTCGCTGTGCGCTGTACATAGGTCGAGTGAGGCTCGAAAAGGACTCTGAGTTGATCCATCTGATGGTGCGTTGCTTCGATGTGACTGTCAGATACCAGCCGAAAGTGTAGTCCCCTTATCCTTGGTTGTTTTGCTTAAAGACACAGGGACTCTTCGCAACAAGTCCCTACACTTCCCTCATCTTTTCACTCTTTACTAAGACTTCCAGTGCTTGACGCCAGTATGCAGTATGCGTTGAGTGTTTATTCTTGTCATTGACTTTCACACCTTACGGACACTTTGTACCTGATGTGCGAGTCTCGACTGTGGCATCGCTTCCCGCGTCTTCGGTTGCTAGTCTTCACACGCGTGTTTCCATACCAAACATGCTTGCTTACGCTGTCTTGCATACGTTGTCTGACTGGAACTGTTGGTAGTACAACTTCGAATGGGACGCTTCCCCCGTGACCGCGCTCTTCAAAAACGAGCGATAATCGCCAATGATGATTTATACACAGTGGATTGACGTAGAAATCAGAACCTTCCAAAAAATTATCTGTGGACTGGTACACAGTAAACCCCCCACTCAGAGAGGCCCTTCCGATAATGGCTCACCTTTCTGGAGAGTACATATCATCCCTTCTTAAAACACATCACACGTCGTGCGGTACTTTGAACCTTTCAAGATTTTTATCCGTTTGTGCCGAGAAGAGGACGGCTTCCTTAACCAATGTTCCGCGATTTCAAAATCCCGACAGTTTCCCTGGACGACGATAATCGAATTCATCAAATAGCATTTGATATTGCAGGTGTTTTAACAGGGATGAACTTTTTTTAACCAGGAGTATGTTCGTACTCAGCTGGACTGCGACCTTTCCATCACCACAAGGGTAAAAATACCAGTGCGCCGTTAGGGTGCGGAGTGGAGCGTAGCGATGCGCCAGTGATCGTGGATGTCCTCCCCCCCCCCCCCAGAGGCTTCGCCTTTCCAACCAAGAACATTTGAGCCTTTTCTCGCGAGCGACTTATTGTGTAGACGAACATAATAAATAAATAATAAATAAAAATAGGGTTCTATGCTAAGAATACATCCGACTCTTGTTGTCTCAATGCAAAAAACGCAAACAATGGCGTACAACCTTCGGAAATCCACGACCGAAATCTATGAACTGAGATGTTCCCCTATTGGGTGGCTCACCAATGAACTAAACCATAGATAGATAGCCATCGCCGAGTGTTGCAACTGATTCCTGTAAAATGTTTCGCCAGCATGGAAGCTGCGTCTGTGAATCCGGGATTCTTCCAAATGAAGTATTACTGTCATAAGCAAATATACACTCATTTGCAAACGAATTAGGTTTTTCGAGAGACTCACCTGGAACCCAGCTGAATCTCTCGTTTGTGATGTTCTCAGGCTGATTTCGTGCAATTTGGTTTCAAGTAGAACATAGGGATGACGGAAACTCGGGGACTGCGCCTACCTGATGAGCCCCAAAAAGGGCGAAACCAGTCGTGGGCTGTCGACGCATTTTCAGCAACCTTATGAGTAGTACATTACAAGGATATACTGTTATAAGCTGTTTTAAAGGCTCCCAGGACTAAACCGAATCCACTCAACTTAGCGGTGCCATTGAGCCCTGAATTCAGTGTATTGGACAAAAGTTTGGCTTATCGTAAGAACAAAAAATATAATATTTTATTGTTCCCGGAAAATTAGTCGTACAGTGCTAAACTGGGTGCCCTACATGACCAAATCTTTTTGAGGTTTCTCCTAAATGATCGCATCCATTCCAGTGTATAACCGCCAGCCAGTGCAGGATTAGATTTAGCCAACATGCTCACCTAAAATGACAGGAGTGCGAGATAACTGGCAAAGCTTCCGGTCAATAAAAGTTACTCTATGGCCGACTGAATAGTTTTCATACTTGGCGAACGATTATTGACCAATCCGTTCACGAGTAGTCTAAAGGCCTGAGCGAGAGAAGGGTTTTTATCAGGTTCGCTAGTCAGAGTGAGGTTCTCGTAAAACTCTCAGGTACTTACCTGTAATAGGTCCATACGAGCATTAGATGTCTGGCAGCACTCGCTCGCTTTGTGCCAGTTACCTGATCCGCGAGAGTTCGAGACACTGTCCGATCAAGCCAACTCGTCCATACCGGCAAAGCTGCTCTATTTGTCAGTAGTGTGCACAGTTCGGCGTGCAGTTCTTTCATGCTAATTTTCGATAGACTCCGACCATCACAATTTCGTAGCTCAAAACCGGAATAAACAGGGCTCTTCTCCATGTGGTCAGTACTGTCGTACATTGTTTCGTCGTGAGTCTCGACAACAGCTGTCTCCAAATTCTCGGTGATCGAAGCTGCGCTTCCAGCGAAGACCTTCGTATTATGGTTATCGATTTGCTCGTCAGTTTGAGCAGGCGAGGCCAGTAAAGTGTCAAGTTCAACGGCGTCTGATATGTGTCCTTCGTCTTCTGTTCTTTCACCGTTTACTGGATGACTGAATGACATCTGCTCAGCGTATAGCGAACACTCGCTAGCCCATGAGCCTTGCGCCTGAAATTTAAATCTTTTGCACTTAGTGGGTGGGGGAAATTTAAACAAAACGAGAATATATTTCTGCCAGTCTTTCTCCGTTTATTTGCAATCCTCGTTTGGATGTGTTATTCAAGAAGCAAAATGGTAAGCCTGAATGGCTTGTTCTTGTACTATAATCCTCGATTTTCAGTGAGTTTGATACAAGTGAACAGTACTCACGACACTCAGATAACCAAACAGACATGGAGGCGGACCTTATCAGTTAGCAGTCTAAGCTTTCAAAGCACAGGTGATTAAGCCTGCTGGTCAATTAACTCCAGCATCCAGCAAGTTGCATGCAAAAGACGCACTGGGGGTCGAACTTTGGGCGTCAAAGTTCACTGACATTAAGTGCCTAAACAGATCCCTCAACATGCACGTTTAAGACGTATTCTGTGGCCTACTTTCTTAGTGTAGAAACAAACTAAGGCATTCTAATCTCAACTGGGCAGAAAAGATGGAGAATACTCAAGTCAGACAAAAATTAGGTATTTTCCCTAGTAACATACTACTCATCGGCTGCTGAAAACAAATGAAACGCCCACTAACGTAAGTCTCCGATTAATATCCGGTTCATATTTCGAGCCAGAGATTCCCTAATATTTTATTTGGGACATCGATTTTTGTGTTAAGTGGGCTGTTGAAGAATCCGGTAGCTCACTGAATAATTTGCTGTTTTGGGACTAGAGTTTAGTCAGTCTACCGTTAGGAAGACTACTGATGTAACCCAAACCAGTTAGTATATAGTTAGTTATACAGTTGGTTAGTTAGTATAGTTATATAGTATCGTATAGTTAGTACAATATAGTTATATAGTTATTAGTATATTCTGTTGAAGAATAGGATAAAGCGAGGGCGCCTCTGAGTCATTCTCATACAGCTTCAGTTGTCAAATTACGTTGTGACTCAGTGCGTGGTTTCGTCGGGCGCTACTAACGAGCAAGAATAATGGAAATCCCACTTAATGAGTAAGCATTAAAGTGTACAAATAGGTAATGTCTCACCCGAATTTCCAGGAGATCGACAACTATATCTTAGATATCGGTTCAAGGGCAACATGGATGGACTTTTTTTCGAGAAAAACACTCATTTGCAAATCAATCTGGTTTTCACGAGAGACTC